TAGAGTTAAGCTAGTCATTACAGTACAGAATGGCTTCCAGAAACCCGGTAGGACCACCCACTGTGCGTGCTCACTACGGGGGGGGGGGGGGGGCATTAACAGGCAGCGCACGAATCCCAGCTTAGCAGGTACTGGCAGTATGGTGATGGTCTCAAAGTCAGAACTCAGCGCCTACAAAACTCTTCCATTTGCCAAGCATGTAAAGCCGTGAGCAGAAGACCCAATACTGATAGCAGTGCAGGTTGGTTTCTGTCAGCTCGACACGAACTAGACTCACCTGGGAAGAGCGACCCTCAGTTGAGGAATCGCCTCCATCAGATGGTCTTTGGGCGTGTTTGTGGGGCATTTTCTTTACATTGATAATTGATGTGGGAGGGCTCAGCTCATTGTGGATGGTGCCACCCCTAGGCAAGCAGGTCCTTGATGATAAGAAAACAGACTGAACAAGCCACTGGGAACAAGCCAGTACGCAGTGTTCCTTCATGGCCTCGGCAGCGTCCGTCTTGCCTCAGTGTGGCCGCCTCAAGCTGGCTTCCATCAGCGATGGACTGTAAACTGTATGCAAAATAAGCTTTTTCCTTCTTGAGGTGCTTTTGGTCATGGTTTTTATCACAGCAGCAGAAAGCAAACCAGGACGATTGCTGGAACAGAAATTAAAAAGAAGTTCCTCTGTGTCAAATGTGACAAGGTGGCAGTTTCAGGCTCAACTGAGGAATCACACAGATACGCTAGGGACTGGGCAGTTGCGATGCCCAAGCCAACCGTCTTCAAGGTCTATCCCAAGCGACAAGCAGGAGTGAAACCAGGAGTGAGCAGCGAGCACAGCCAGTAACAGAATTTACAAAGAAGACTGGTTGCTAAAAGGATTAACGTGCTTTAGCTGCTTGACAATCAGCGGAGTACTGGGATCAGCGAAGAAATCAAATTTCATATTACACTGTTACCACTAAGTGACAGCATTCAAGTCAGTCAACCAATGTCTGACAGAGGTCCGGGCACACAAAGCTAAACAAAACAAAAACTACAAGAGCCCAGGGTTTTATAGTTTGTCCATGAAAACAGCCTGTAGAGGCTTTCCCAGACTGAACAATAACCCCGCGTTACCTGATGGATTATGAAAGGGTGTGTTCTGAACTAGTTAGTAAAAACATATGTTTGAAACACCGTGATCCTCACTCCAGAAAGGCAAGCCCCAGACTATCTTCATAGGAAGAGAATAGAGATTCGGCAGCACAAACCTGTGTGGTAAATGCTGCAGCTGGGCCTGGGAATTACACTCTGCTACTCTTGTGGATTTCGACATATGTACAATATAAATCAATTCCTACATTATGATTTCTTTCCTCGGTTATTTTTTTTTCTTTAGTATCTGATTCCTCCCATATTTTGAGGAGGGTTAGCAGAATCAAATAATCGAATAAACTTAATGTCCACAAAATTAAATCTGCTCTCTGTGAATCATTCCTCTTCCTCAGTCCACAGGTGGAGAAAACGAGGCCTAGAGAGGCGGTCGGATTTGCCCGAGGGCAGGCAGTAGAACAGTCACACTTGCCCTCTGCCCTCCAGCTCCGCTGCTCAGTGGCCGTCTCACTCTCGCTGCCATTTATTCCTTCAGTTTTGCGCCATCTTTCTGCAGACTCTTAATCCACGCTGGAAGATAAGTCTTGTCTCAGATCCCCCTTACTTCCATCAGGAAGATGCTGGGAGGGGGCCTAGGTCCTCTTCCAGGGTCTTACCCTTCCCACCCATCCTGAGCTGCCTTGGCAGCAGCGACTCCTCTTCAAGCACAAGCACTACAAACGGTCGGTCGCAGGGAGAGAAAGGAAATAAAGAGACAGGTGTGAAGCTGAGCGGTCCCGAGCAGTGACACCACGAAATCAAGTGTGACGAGTGTGAGCACTTCCCTCTTGGGGTCAAGTTCACCCCCTGCACAATGTCTACTGGTGGCCTTTTCCAGACACATTCCTTCATACACTGAGAGTACCTGGGGGCAGCTACCAACCATGGCTTTATGGAACCCAGAGACACAGGAAAAGTTTGCTCCCATCCACAGGGCAGCTCAAAGAGTTCTAACAAGAAATGCAGGCTTTGTTCTAAAGACTTCCCATGTTTCCCCAATGAAAATTCCATTTGATAGCCACTAGGAGGTTTACAATGGACAGACGCACTGGGAGTTCTAGCTTCTCCCATTTGTGTCCCCCAATGGGGATTTTTTTAAAGCTATTTCTCTTACTTTTTGAGATGATAGATCTGTCTTCAAGAAGCACTTGCTTTTTTGGTTCGCTAGACCAGTGGTCAGCTTGATCTGTTTTTGGACACATGCCTAAATAGATGCTTTAATATGAGCTCATCATTTAAAGCAGTCAAACCTTGCAAAGCAAAAAATTTAATCTTTCAAGCTTTAGAGATGGGAAATTTCATTTAATTCCTGGGTTATCACGTTCCTACACCCAGAATAAGGGTATTACACAACCAACCCCTTAACATGTAAATGGAGACCCTTAAGAAAAAAAGCACGCAAGATGCATGTTGAGTGCTTCAGAAATGCTGCATGAGAATATTAAAATTCACTGTTTTTCAGTGGGCTCATCACAGGATAGAAGTTTAAGCACCAGAGGGGGTGATTTTCATATGAATGTTAAGTGCAGATAGGCACAGACAAGAGCCTATTGGGGACACAGAAAACCAAGTCTTGTCAAAAAAGTGGTGGTGCGGGAGAATTGTCTGTATTCTGTCAATCATGTTTTAAATAAACACTGATTGGCCAGGGAGGAAGTATAGGCGGGTCAACCAGACAGGAAGTAGTAGAGGTGGGGCAATGAGAATAAGAGAATTCTAGGAAGGAGGAAGCCCATTCCTCCAGTTCTGCCCAGACCACTGAAGAGGCAAGATGTGAGCTGCCCCGCTGAGAAAGGTACCGAGCCATGTGGCCAACATAGATAAGAATAATGTGTTGATATAAGCTACAAGAGCTAATAAATAGCCTGAGCTAATGGGCCAATCAGTTTTATAACTTATCGAGATCTCTGTGTGATTTTCTTTGGGGATTGCTGGTTGTGGGGTACCAGGCAGGACAGAAACCCCAACAAGCAGGCCCCTCAAGTTACAGAGTGGAGGAACTGAGTGACAGAGAGGTGGGCTGTTCAGATAAGAGACAGACATTACTAGACCTCTAGACCTCTTTTCAAAGAAAACATTGAAGATTTTGTTGGGCCTTCCTCCCTGAACTATCACAAATAGCAATGCAATTGTAAATGAGTGGTGTCCAGTGGCACACATGTGCCATTTATACTTTAGTGCCAATGCTGCCATGATGGAGAGTTAGCATCAAAGAAGGATCCAAGTTACTAGGCCATTCACACAACACAGGGAACATGCTCTGAAATGAGACATAGTACCCAACAAGTCACACAAATCAAAATGGTAGTTCTTGGGGACCCAGGTGGTTCTACAGGGGGGCCTCTGAGGAAGCCATATTAACAAAGGAGGAAAGGCAAAGTAAACAGAGCAGGGCCTACAGTTTTGGGGTATCTTGATCACACATTCTGACACTCCCGAGACTCCCAATAAAGTTTACTTTGAATCAGAGGGAAGAGCTAGCTACTAGCTGACCAAAATTAGCCATTGAGGTTTTGGAAGGACTGAGGACATATAGAGAGACACAGGAAGTAGTAAAGAAGGGCTGAGAGAAAGGTTCCACACTTTTTGGATAGAGGAAGAAGAGATAGAAGAGGTCACTTTCCCACCACTTTTCTCTTATTTCTTACAAAGGAAATAAATTTTAAAAATGCCTCTCAACCTGAAACAGTCCAGAGTTCTATCATTTTATTGTCTTGTTCTCCTCTCTCTCTCTCTTTAGATTTTAAGACAGGGTTTCATCTTAGCTTTAGGAACTAGCTCTTGTAGACCAGACTGGCCTTGAACTCACAGAGATCCACCTGCCTCTGCCTACCAAGTGCCAGGATTAAAGACCTGCACCACCACCTCCAGCTTCTACAGCGTCTCTTACCCCAATATCTGACTCCTGAGTTTTTATTGATAAAGAATAAGACAAACAGGGCTGGTGAGATGGCTAAGTGGTTAAGAGCACTTATTGCTCTTTCAAAGGACCCACCTTTGATTCCTAGCACCCACATAATGATAATGGTATCTGTAACCCCATTTCCAGGGGATCCAACAGGCACACATGATGCACATACATGCATGTGAGCAAAATATCCACAGACACAAAGGAAATAAATTTAAAAAATTTTAAAAGATGATTCAACCTATAGCTGCCCCTCAACCCCAAGCGGTTCAGAGTTCTACCATTTTGTTGTCTTGTTTTTGAAATATGTAGCTGAGGTTGGTTTCTCATTTGAAAAATCTTCCTGCATCCATCTCTAAATGCTGAGATTACAGCCTGCATCACTACACCTAGCAGAATTCACCACTTACTGTGTAAAAAATTTCCATTTAAAGAGTTTATTACCAAGTCAATTTCTCGTTTAACATGGCCCCAAAGCATCAGACTAGAGTGTAAGGCATTTTTTAAAATCTGTCTGTGGTATCTATGTGGTTCTCTGGGATGCTGTTATTAGAACTCACTCCTGACTGGTTAATATTGATGCTCAAGTTTGCATACCATGATCTCTTATTCCTAGTTAACAAGGGAGGAGACTGAAACTCCTAAATTATACAGTTCATCAGCTGACCGGGTTCAACCCAGGAAATGCCTAACATCAAAATTGTGGAACTCAACTCTGTTTTTATGGTTTAAAAAATAAACTCCATTGGTAAAAAGCAACTTGTTTTGTTTTTCCTCTTAGTTTTTGAGACAGGGAGTTTCTTTATAACCTAGGTTGTTGAGATAGGGAGTTTCTCTATAACCTCAATTCCTAAATGTTGGGGTTTCAGGCCAACACCACATAAAAAATAACTCATTCCCTCTTTTATTTGGACTCCTTCTCTATAAGGATCATCGAAAGCCCCATGTTTATTCCCCAGCAGGAAAGACTTACCCTGGGGTGCAGAAGTGGATGGCTATCAGCTCTGCCCAACAAGCGAATCTGTTTGGGACAGGAAAGCCCAAAACGTTGACAAAGCCGCCAGGGCAGTAATGATTGCTAAGAACTTTCAAGGCAAACAAAACTCCTAGAAAAGAATAAAGAACACATCAATATCAACAATTCCGATTCAGGAAGAATCACTGAATACAAAGAAACTAAACACTATTCCTAACTATTACATTCAACTTTCTGCTTTGAAACACAGTCGGAGAGCATGGCAGTCATTCCTGTGATGGGTCCCAACATGGAAGTTCAACCTGCTTCCAAGTGTAGAACACAAAAGGTGGGAATGAGCCACCAGCAATGGTATCAAATACCAGGGAACTGTCCCTTTAAAGCAGCTAATTTTTTTGCTATATATGGATATATATTTTGTTCATATATGGATATGAACAATGAACAAATACCAGTAACACATACTCTTGTAGCCTCTATGGGAAAACACTGGCAGCAGGGTGTATGTACTCCAGTGGAGCTACAGGTGTCACAGGTGAGTGTGAGCTGCCTGACAACGATGCTGGAAATCAAGCTTGGGTCCTCTGCGAGAGCAGCGTATGTTCTTAACTGCTGACCCACCTCCCCATCACGACTGGATATATATTTTCATGACATTATTGAGAGGCACAGGCAACATCGTTCTCTCGGTAACCCTGGACCAACTCAGTTCTCCCCCTTCCATGCTTATGATTCTTAAGAATAACCGTGGAAGGTATCAAGGGCAACATGCTAAGATAAAGGTGGCACAGGTTGTCTTCTAGGCTTCCCCTTAGGGAATTTCTACAATCCTTGGGTATACTAGGGTAAAGTTAGAGGCTTTAACTGCAAGTGAAATATACATACAGTCAAGACCTCATCTGTCTGGGAAGCCTTCTGAGACTTGGGGATCAGCTCACAGTGAACCCTAGATTGCCTATATGTAAGTATTCCATTTGCTTAGTGTTACCTGGTGCAGACAAGTATATTATGCCTCATTGGGCTCAAGCGAGTTGGTAACCAGTGCGCCCTGAACCTGCTTCACAGGCACACTCAGTTTTCAAGAACACTCTTCTGTAAAGGCACCCATGAGTCCCTCCATAGCATTACCACGAGGAAGTCAGGTACACATGTCCAGTACTATAAAACCATCTTCTAGCAGGCCCTGGTCTAAGTGTGCCAGAATGGGGATGCAGCATCAAGTGAGACAGCCTAAATGATGCCTTCTTATATCCTAGCCAGTTTGTTCTTCAAGATGCAGGCCCCAGCCATTATTAACCACTCCGGATCCTGTCTTCTCAACTAGGAAAGGAAACAGGCAGCCTCCCTCACGGCTGTCACAAGTAATTCCTGAGACAGTGTCCGCCTTACCTGAGAAGCCGACAGCACAGTTCCTTCTGAAGTCGGGCTCATTCATGAATTCTGCAAGAGTGAACTGCAAGAGCAAATACACCACCCCCGTGAGCAGGGAGAAGGTGGTGATGATGTAGCCAAACCATCTGCTTCCCAGTCTTCTCTCCAGCTTTATTCCTTTCCAGAGCATGGACACCATGTTGAAATACAAATGCCAGTCATCTGCATGGTGCAGGGGAGAGAGCAGCAAACGCTGCCAGTCTTTTTGCTGGTAACACTTTTCCACGCTGATGCAGGAATAGTGCAGGGGCTTCAGAGGATTCAGGAAGAGCCAGACGTTGAGAGCCAAGGTTGCCAGGGTAACAGGAGGAATGTTGTTGATCCCAACATGGAACACTTGAGAGAGCAGCATGAGGAGCCCCACGTTGACTCCTCTTGATCTCCGCTGCATGGCTGGCTATCAGGAGGAGCACAGACGGGGAATTCTGCTCGGGGATTAGCCACCCAGGAAGGCACGCAGAGAGCTGCACCTGAAACACACAGTGCATGTGAAGTCCATCACCTGAGAACTGTGTGCCGCTAGGACACTCACTGGAAGTTGAGCACACACCAGCACAGCCGACTTCTCATCCCAACAGAGATACTTACTTTTATTAACTCTTTCTTCACTTCACATTCTAAACTAGAAATTTTATCCCAGATCCCAGTGGACTTAAGGGTCAGGCAGGCTGCCCCTGATGAAGGTGGTCATGAACTTGTAATGCATCTTTCTTAGTTAATTAATTAGTTAGTTAGTTAGTTAAATTAAAAGGTAAGCCTGGCAACCTAAGCTTGATCCTTGGACCCTCAAAAGAAGGTGGAAGGAGAGGACTAACTCCAAAAAGTTGTCATCTGACCTACACAGAGGCACTGTGGTATGCGCACCCACAATACACATAGTATACATAGTCATAATAGAAAAGACATGGTTTAGAGAAAAGGCTCCGTGTGCAGAGCTTGCCACATAAACATAAAAACCGGAATCCCATTATCCAGAGTAACATCCCATTATCAGACCAACATCTGAGGTTGCCTCTGACGCTCACATGCATGTCATAGCATATGTGTGCCAGCACTCACAGACTCTAAGTCATACACACACATCATACACATCTACATATATATATACATATATACATACTACCCATATATATACATATACATATATATGTGACATATATATCATACAGACATAAGCACACACCATACACATAAAAAAGGTAAAAACGACAACTTGGATGATGACAATCTGCAAAGACAGTATGCAAACATTAAGTAATTTAACTCAAATCCTTGCCAAGTCTCTTTATCTCTTCTATTATTTTTAGCAGAAACACTCAAAATGCCAAAAAGTAAGGTTGTGAGCATGTTACAGTCTAACCCAGTTTTCATACTCCCAGATGTCAACTCCCTCAATTTTTTATTTGTCATAAACTTTAAAAACTTATCTATGTGCCAAATTCTACACTGAAAAAAATGTGGCCCTTGTTTACAAGCTCACTTGTCACCAAGAAGAAAAACCAACCACGGCCACAGGATGTTGGAAGCACAGACAGGGAGCCCAACAACACAGGCAAACAGCTCTGCCGAAGGTGGTGACAGACAGGACCGCTGTGTTCGTGGGAATTCCTTTGAGTTAGTGACAAGGGAGAGTTCTATGAGTCTGAGGTCTTCCGCTCTACCCTCCGACTGCTTTGGATGGCAGAAAGCAGAGGGACGGATAATACAAGAGGCCCCAAGCCAAGCCCCAAGATGCAGTGCGGGTGTGTGTTCCTGTGGGCACAGGCTCTTGTACCCCAATGGTCCCGGCCACTGGCCAGCTAACCTGAGATGCACACAGAGGGAAAGCAGAGCCTAAGGAGCCCATCCTAATTTGAACCACAGGGCGGTAGGTTTTGGAGTGGTTTGATAAGCACAATTACCAATACAGAAGGTATTGACTTTGGAGGTATTGACAGGCCAATAAAAAGGACCAGGGGTTTGAAATGACTAACAGAAAGTAGGGGTGGGGAGTCAGGTTGAGACACAGGAAAAATGGGCAGAGGTGATGGTCTAGGGGAAAAGAAAGTGCTGGGAAAGGTCTAGTATTTTCATTTCTATAGGGGCATATCATTTATGTTGAAATAGTCCATCTTCTATATATTATGTAATGAATTTTAGTCATCTTCACACCAACTCCCCTCCTCTCCCACTGGCACCCTTCAAAAAAGTCTCCTTTCCCACGTCCTGTCATGTCTTCTTCTTGTGAATTTGGAGTTACTTGTCGAAGTGTGGGAGGAAGCCGCCAAGTGGAGCGAGGGCCACTTAGCTGTGGCTACACCACTGAAGAAAGTGATACACACACCTCCAACACACATATACAAGCTTTGATTGCTGTAATCTTTTGGGGAAGGGTGTGGGCCTCACTCGTCCCTACTTTATCCGTGATGAAGAGTTGACGGCCCCAATCTTGGACAGACCTTACGTAGATAACCATGGCTGCAGCGACACGTTCATGAGTGCAATTAAAAAAAAAAAAAAAAAAAAAAAAAAACAAAGCAAAAAAACCTCCGTAAGATCAAGCTGCAGGTCAGCCTGTAGGGCATTTTCCAATTAGTGATTGACGGGGGGGAGAGGTCCAGTTCACTGTGGTTGGTACTACCCTTGGGCTGGTGATTCTAAGCTCTTTAAGAATACTAGATGAGCCAGCCAAAAGAAGCAAACCAGTAAGCAGCACCCCTCCATGGCCTCTGCATCAGCTCGTGCCTCCAGGTTCCTGCCATGTCATGTCCTGCACCATTCCCTCCCCATTCTCAGCTCTTACATCTTTCCACCCACTCTTCCGAGATGTTACCCAAGCCTCTGAGGGTGCATTACGGTGGTCTGAATGTGAATGGTTTCCATAGGCTCACATGTTTGGATACTTGGTCTCAAGGTGGTATGGCCTTGCTGGTGTGTCACAGTGGGCTGACTTTGAGGTTTCAAAAGAATCATGCCATTTTCAGTGTGTTCTCGGGCTCCTGTTTTTGAGGTTTGAGATGTGAGCTCTCATCTCTTCCTGCCACTATGACTTTACTTTGCCATCATGGACTCTAACCCGCTGGAAGCATAAGCCCAATTAAATACTTTCTTGTATAAACTGCCTTGGTCATGGTGTTTTACCACAGCGATAGAAAAGTTACTAATACAGGTTTTCTAGTTCTCCAGTTGAGGCAGAACACTCCAGCATCCCTTATTCTCAGCACTTTGGACAGCAAGAGATTTCTGCATTCAGCAATGCCTGCTGCAGTAGGAAGTTTATCTGAGGAAGGTATGCCAGATAGTTTTAGGTCAACTTGTTACAAGGAGTAATCATCTGAGAGGAGGGAACCCTCAAAATTTAAAAAGAATTACCTCCGTAAGATCAGGATGTAGGCCAGCCTGTAGGGCATTTTCCTAATTAGTGACTGATGGGGGAGGGTCCAGTTCACTGTGGTTGGTACCACCCTTGGGCTGGTGATTCTAAGCTCTTTAAGAATACTAGATGAGCAAGCCAAAAGAAGCAAACCAGTAAGCAACACCCCCTCCATGGCCTCTGCATCAGCTCCTGGCTCCAGTTTCCTGCCATGCTTGAGTTCCTGTCCTGGCTTCCTTTGGAACTGTGGAATTGTAAGTCAAAGAAACCCTTTCCCCTCCAACTTGCTTTTGGTCATGGCGTTTCTTCACAGCAATAGGAACCCCAAGTAAGACAGAAGGCTGAGAACAGCACTTTTTTGGGTATGAACATGAGTACTTGGAAAGCAGCCAGACAACATGAAGGCTCACCAAGACAATAACAGGAGACTCCTTACTGGAGTCTAGGACTTTCCCAGTTGAGGGCTCCTGACCAGGTTTATAAGACCAGCATACAAAACCAGAAAACCAGGAAAGCTACACGCTCTTCTCCATTCACCGCCCAGGTGTAACAACCTTCCCACCACGCGATGTACATTACTCTGCCTTTCAGAACACTGAGTCAGCTCCACAGAAATAAGCCTGTGAGTCACTTCAGATGCACTGATGACAAACGAAACACCATTTTAATCATGTGGCAACATACACTAGACAGCACTGTATCGAGACTGTGGCAGAGACATGGAAGATTTCTTGAATATTGATGGGGGAATTAGCCATATTTACTTTTAATGAGAAATTAAAAATTAAACAGGTATGCAATAAGAAAAAACTACATGGCTAGAATAAACAAAGAAACTGAATTCATAACTTGAGAAACCAGTGTGTCTGGGGGAGGGGGTGGGAGAGTAGAAAGGGAAAAGAAACTAATTACAGGGATTTTCAATTCTACTTGCAAAGCAGAAAATATTTCACCATTATCATTTACCAAGGCCGTATATATCTCAATTTTCAGATTTAAATGTTCAATAAGAACTGAGGCCATTAAATTGCAAGAGTATACACCAGCTATAAATTCTATTCCCAATTTGGTATGTGATACTAACCAAATTAATTCCACAAGAGAAACAGACATGATAGAGTCTTAATGGGAGTAATTAAACGCCGCACTGAAGACTGGGGTCTCTGTATTATTGTAAGGGCAACAAATTCACGGAAATCATCTTATACTGTGTGGCTCCCTCTCCAAGAAACTGTTTATTGTTACACAGCTGAGAAAAATCAATGGTAAGCCATTACAACTTTGAGACCTTTGGTAAATTTCATTTACTAGTTTTACATAGTTTAATAAATACTCTTTTTAAAAAAAAATCATAGGGGAAATATGATTAACAGTTTGTTAAAAGGTCTGCTATTGCCCAGGCTGAGAGCTTTCTAAATAATATCCGACTTTCCAAGCACTTAAGTTTAGAATTTTTTTAAATGGAGACATAATTCACATACCATAATAATCACATTCTTGAAGTGCACAACTAAGGGATTTTAGTATATTCATAGGTTGTGTAACCATAATCAGTCTTCCAGAACTTTCTTGATGCCAAAAAGAAACACCATACCTTTTAGCAGTCCCAATACCTCTCTTCCCCTAAGTCTTACCAATTATCCACCTCATTTCTGTCTATTCCCTACTCTGGACATCTCACCTAAGTGAGATTATTCAATACAGGGCATTTGATTTCTTCTCCTTATTTCCAAAGATCACCGATATTACACCAACGCTTGTTACGCTCAAGTAATATTTCACTGTATAGATGCACCACAACATGTTTCTCTACTCTTCAGCAGATGAGCTGGTCCACTGTTTGCAGCCTGGCCCTATGATGCACAATGCTCCCACGATCCTAGTGTGCTACTCTCTGTGTGAACACACACTCCTAGGACCAGAGTCACTGGGCCAGCCAGCAACAAATTGTCTTCCAAACTCATACACCGTTGTGTACACACTCTCTCTGAGTGCAAGGTCTCCGACTTCATCGTGTTCTCAAGAGTCTTTGCTTTTTACTGATGCTTTTTATTCTAGCTTTCCTAGTGTATGAAATGGTGTGCACAAACATTTCCCTAATGTAAGACTAATGACGTG